TTTGATGGCCTTGTTTCTTCCTTTGACTGGAACGACTTTCTCCAATCATCTACATCCACTGATATTTACCAAAAGTTTGTGCAGGTTTTGAAGGCATTTGATGCTTCCTCCAGAAAAGAAATATACGTTAAAAGACGCCGGCCTGACCACTACTGGTTGAATGCAGATATACTGGCAGCAATAACAGAAAAAAATAAACTTTGGGCTCGGCATAGGCGCGCTCCTAACAATGCAGAGCTTAAATCAAACTTCAAAACTTGTAGAAATATGGTTACAGCGATGATTCGTTCAGCTAAGCGCAGATACTTTTGTAAAAAGTTCTCAGAATTCCGCTCAGACATGCGCAAAACGTGGCTTCTCGTTAACGAATTTCGTGGTCACTCATCCCGAAATTCAATCGATAATGTATTAAAAAGGTTCTTTGGCTCTAATCTGTCAACGGTCGTAAGGGATTTTAACAGTTTTTTTGCGACCTTTTCAGGTACGACACGAAATTCTTTCATGACTTTCGAGAATGTTGTAACGGCCTCTGCTTTCCTTCCGCCTATGATAGAATCAGATCTCTCTTCATTGTTATTCAGTTTCAAACCATCAAAATCACCAGGCATCGACGGCATTCGAGTTACTGATCTTCGTAGAAATTATGAGGTTATTAAGCATGTACTACTTCATATGTTGAACGGCTTTATTACGGGTTGCATTATTCCAGACGAACTAAAGACCGCTATAGTACGGCCCTTGTTCAAAGGCGGCGCAGGGAGTAAGATTGAAAATTACCGCCCAATTTCTATTTTGCCAATTATTGCACAACTTCTTGAAAAACATGTATTCCATACTATGACATCATTTCTAGATTTACATGATGTAATTGCACCGAGTCAGTTTGGTTTTGTTCAAGGAAGGGGAACCCAGCCATTGCTTGAAGATTTTGCCGATTTATTATTTTCTGGTTTTGAAAAACATCTTGTTTGCTGTGCTCTCTTTTTAGATATATCTAAAGCTTTTGATACCGTTAGCCATTCAATCCTTCTGAAGAAGCTTTATAGCTACGGATTTCGTGGTCCGTTTTTTTCTTTTCTTTCAAACTACCTATCAGATCGCTCACAACTTGTAATTGCAGCTGGGGCACGGAGCCCGCGAACAACATTAAGGGCAGGCGTACCACAAGGCTCAATCCTATCTCCTCTCCTATTTAATTTGTTTGTTAATGACATTTCTACTTTTCTTTCCCAAGTCACACTTTATCAATACGCGGATGATACTGTAATTGTTACTCGACATATTAACTTCGAAGATGCTGCCCGCTCACTGCAATGCGCTGCGACTGTAGTCATGGATTGGTTTCAACGAAATCTTTTGGACGTTAACGTAAACAAGACTAAGCTTATTTGTTTTCATAATCCTCTTAAATATGTGTGTCTTGATTTCCCTTTCCTTTTACATAACTCAAACTGTGTATCTTGCAAGTGTGTTCCTTTAGTATATGTTGAATGCGTAAAGTACTTAGGAATCTTGTTTGACTGCGGTTTAACTTGGAATGCTCAACTCACGTCCCTCTGTAAAAAATTAAGGAGTACTTGTTGTCTGCTATATAATACAAAATCACTTATGCCTCTCTCAGTTCGCAGACTAGTCACCCATGCGCTTGCATATAGTGTGTTACAATATGGCGTTACGGTGTTTGGAAACTGTTCCGGCTTCTGGCATGAGAAAATTGACTGCATTTTAAAAAATATTTTGAAAAGTGTTTCTTATGGCATGCAACTTCCCGATGGTAGTGATCTCTTTCAACATTTACAATTTCCCTGCCTCCGAACACTTTTTATTCAAACTGTTATCTTACGATACTTTTGGACAGATCAATTCAAAAGAAAAAACGTTGTTCTTCGTTCTCTTCGTTTTCAAGAGACTTTCGAGATACCTTTCGCCCGAACAAGATATGGACGGTGTACACGCGAATTTTACGTGCCTGAACTCTTTAATAATCTGCCTTCTGAAGTTCTACAAGCGAATTCACTGCGTCAACTAAAGAGAATGCTGAGACTTCACCTACTGGGATGAGATGTCGCCTAGCGTGTGCATATTTTGTTAGTATCAGTGTGTATGTGCCTAATTACTGATTCAGTTTTGTGCATCCTAAAGTTTTTCAGTTTGTTTTACTGATGTGTGTGTGACGAACTTTACACTGCTTTTTCGTGGACATATCAGTTGTTTTTTTTTTGTAATTTTTTGGGCGGCATCACACAAGCCATTTGTTGGCTTTGATTGCCCCCGCACTCTTGTATGCTTTCATGAATGTGTCCTGAATACAAGTTTATTATTATTATTATTATTATTATTATTATTATTATTATTATTATTATTATTATTATTATTATTATTATTATTATGGGTGTATACCAACTAGCCCATATTTCACCGTTAATTAACTGTTTGACAAGTTCGCTGATATATCTCTAGTATGGATCATACGATGTGTAGGTTTGTCTCTATATTCATTATTTTTATAGAGCAGGTTTGGTGTTCACCTACGACTGTAGTTATGACTGACGTCTTAGAATTTGACCAGCAAGCAGTCGAGCAAATATTTTGTAATCACAGTCGAGAAGGCCAATTGATCTGAAACCTTCGACTAGTTCAAGGTTGTTGGTATCTTTTGACTTTGAGATTTGTATCGTGTACGCTTTCCGGAATGAGGGTGGAAACAATCCTTTTTTGTATGATTCATTAAATATACGAAGAAGAATTGGTGCAATTTCCTTTTTCCACTTGTAGAAATTTGCTGGTAGTCCCTCCGGGCCTGAAACCTTCCAGCTCTTCATTCCAGTAATATGTGTTCCAATTTCTCAAGTACTAAGGGCTTCGTTGAGTCTCATCGTCGTGTCAATATAAAGGGTGGACATTCCATTTACTATTTCATTTCGTATAACGTGCGTACAGCGGGGTTTTTGCGCGAAACGTTCGTCAAAATGGGACAGAAAGGCGCCTTAAATATATATCTCATCTTTCAACTTTCTCCCATTCTGCTTGAGAAGAAAGACGAACGTATCTTTTTGTACATACTCAGGTTCCGCGTGAAGGTATCTTTGAGTCGGCTGTTCTGTTTCGAGTACTTGGAGAGTTGGTGTCCTTGCCGCAGCTTCCTCGTGGCACCTCGTGTCTTCTTCGAGCTTTTTTTTTTTTTTTTTAATCTAAGTTTAGCTTTGGTATTTCCTTGGCGTTTAACCACTCAAGCTGGTAGAGGCATCAAATGTCGCAATTCAAAAGCCTTTTTTATGCTTTTTCATGGTAAGAAACATTGGAAAGACTGTTGCACGGCCCATTTGAAAGGGCCGTGCATCGACAATAGGTTGGAATCTTTCTCAGAAAACGTGCAACGACACGAAGTTGGAATGTTTTTCACATTACAGAAGCTAGTGGCCACGAGTTGGATCCAGGTGCATGTACTCGCACACAACGTCATTGGTCAAAAAATGCTTTTGTCGAGGTGTAATTTGACGGGTAAACGCCGACTTGTTCAATCTGTCCTTGGCCAATTCTGATGGCGTGGTCATGACGATTGCAGTAGTGGCGTAGTCGCGGGAATAACCCATTGAAACGATATTCAGATGTGGCTCATAGATTGTACGCGAAAAATGCATCAGCACACAATTTGTACGCGTGACAATGAATGACTCGACATATATTTGGTTAGCAGCTCCATTTCCACTCACCGCGGTGAAGGGGATAGTCGAACCTTGTGCCACTAAATAAGCTACGCTTCAGAGTAACGACACTTGGCCATATTGCGGCTTAAAATCATGGCTGCTAGTTTTCTGGAGCTTTATCTGAAATCACAGGAAACGCTCTTCCGTCCTCCACAAATGCTTAAACAGTTCGCGACAAAGCAAAGCAATATTGCACGAGCTTCCTAACACCGAATCTAATGCTGAGGAAGTCGCACTTTTGAATCATGACGATCGGCAGTTGCGTCTGCTCTGCACGAGCACCAAAATAGCGGCGCCCACAACAATGTCGGGGAACGGAGTGCCAATACTCTAAGCTCAGCTCATTTAGTGGCTCTAGTATAACCTAACAATGTTTGGAGCTCGGCACTTGCCTTGAGCTTTTCCACCCGCAGCGCGTGCGTGTGATAAACATTGGTGGCCTACAATCCGCGCCAGATCACGTGGCCGCTTGTTCTGGCTGCGAGTTGAGACGGTAAACGTTGTTCGTTTTTTTCGTTTTTTTCATAATTTTTTGTGAGTTTTAATGAGTGGGGACAACCCTTACACGTGTTTGCTGGTTATGAATCTCAAGAAATAATTATAAGTAGTATATACAAAAACCACGAACATTGTTGCGCCACCCCTTTAACTATAGTAACTTGTACTACCGGAAGATGTTCTGCTGCGGGTACTTCGGTAAGTATATCATATCCAGAAATATGAGAAAGGATTCCTATACGCCCAATACAGGGTATTTAGCAGCATACCAGAGCAGCATAGACAATTTCAAGAAGGAATGCTTTATCCCTAGAAGAACGGATAATGCTTTAAAATGTATATTTTCTTATTTATTTATACCTCATCTCCTTGTGTAGATTTTACAAAGGCGGGAAACAGTTCGATAACTCGGGCCATTTGCATCAGGAAGAACTAAGTGTCAGCAGTTTGAGCAGGAAAAATGTAAAGCAGCTTGACCTAAATATCATTATGCCGGGCACTATGGTTGGATTTTTGAGATGAATTAAGCGTCTTTGAAACATTTTAAATTAAGTAACTGCCCCCCCCCCTACGCCACGAAAAGCAGGACCGAGCACAACACTGCCAACTTCCAACTAGGAAGGCAAGTTAAAATTAATGCTTCTTGAACGGTGCCTTCTCTGACACCAGCTGCTGTCCTGCTGAACCTTGATTCCGAATGTTGCAAATTTTACTTTTTGGTGAGCAGGTAGGGCCGTAAATATTTATCCTGGCTTTGGATATGAGAAATGACTAATTTGAGCTGCGCAGGTCTCCCTCCGCACGATGGCTCCCGCCGACGCAGTGTCCATCCACGCCAACACAGCTCCACTGCGACTGCCAGTTGCATTTCCGACGCGGCCGACCGCTTTCGGCAGCTACGGGCGCTATCAAGAGCCTCTGAGCCAATGGCAGATTGCGGCGGACATGTACATCGACAGCGACATCCGCAAGCGGGCACGGTAAGCGGATATGTCTTAAACCGTTTGGTCCAAGTGTCGCGGCTCTGACGTCCGAAGCAGCACGGAATTTGGCCAAGCATTGGCCAGTGGCTGGCGATGGTCTTTTGGCCAATGGCCAAAGAGTGGTCATGTATCGGCCAATGCTTGGCCGATGGCTCATGGTTAGTGGTTATCGGTAATGGCCAGAGTTTCTGCGGCAGGGGTCTGAGTTCCGGCGGTAGGCCTTGGTTACGGCGACTTGACCGGGTCTTGGTGATCAGGTCTTCTGCGAAGGGTAGCCTCCCGGGGCTGAGCACGACACTTGGCCGGCGTGTTTCTGGAGGTGTACGGTCCACGGGCATAGAACGCAAATACCCCGCACCTCCACCAAAAATGTCACGAATGACAAGTGATGAGGTGATAATAATTGGAGAAACTAAACGTTTAATGGGGCGAACTTGTGCCCAAAAATAAAAAGGGAACAGAATAAAGCAGAGTGTCACGGGCGTCGAAGTCGGCGTGACAGCAGAGTCGAACGCTGAGGCAAAAAACTGACTCGACAAGGTCGCGGGCAGCCTCTTATCCAGAGTGCGTCACTATCTCGAAGATTCGGCGAAGAACCTTCGAGCGTAGCGCGTTCGGGGCGAGAATGAACACGCACTTTCTAGAACAACAAGACCAGAGGTAAACGATAGAAGTTATGTCCGGAGCAAGAATAAACGAGAGCCTTCTAGAAGTCCGTGACCCTGCACGCGGCATCGAGACGATGCGCTTTTAAAGGGGGGATAATGCCGCGCGTAGGGTCAGGGACTTCTAGAAGGCTCTCGTTTATTCTTGCTCCGGACATAACTTTTATCGTTTATCTCTGCTTTTGTTGTTCTACACTGTTAGCAAGTCCCGTGTACTTGGCGAATATTTGGGGTGAAATACACGCTATTTACACAAATTACCATAAATTTACACGTTGAGTAATGGATAATTCGTTCAAAAATCATGCGAGGTTGTAAAAAACGTGTTTTCGTTCGGTCATACACGCATAACCGTGTAGCCGACCTCGAAAACACGTATCACCGCCGGCGACGACCGCAGCATTGCCGGCTACCGAAGCACCGGAATGCTTGGGGACACTCCTAGAAAGGACTGTGGAGACAAATTCCGCGGAAAGGAACATGTCTCGGAGAGAGATATGCACCAAAAGCAATTACGGCGCGGTAACAGCAAGGAACTGCAGTTCCTTGTCTGCAAAAGGGCCGGCTCTCTGCGTCGTCTGCTCGTTCGTTGGCGGCAGTTGGCGTCGTGACCGCTTGCGCCATCTCTTGTCTCCCGTGCGAAACGGCGCCGTGTTGTTTGCAGACCGGTGGCGTCGCTGTGTTTCCATAGGAGCTAGGCCTTTTTCTTTCTTTACTTTTTCCTCGGGTAAGTTCGCTCTTCGCAAATTTTACAAAAAAAAATGCACCATCTGTGGGCAACGCTGCACAAAGTCGTAGCGCGATAGGTTACAAAACCGAATATTCCGATCGATTTAAAGAGCCTTGCGTCTCCTTGTTTCACCCTGTATATTAATTAAATTATATTGAAATATTTGCGCTTGACAAAAGTGTTGATCGAGTGCGTCAACAAGTAGCAATGGTGCATTTGCCCAACACAGTCTTTGTTCTACGAAAGTATAATTTTATAATGTGCGCCCTGTTGCTAAAGACTGGCATATTTAAAAATATTATAATTCGCCTATTAAAAAAATGTCGCTTATTTTTAGTAAGACGTGCTTCTCCGGTACTCTATAAAATCCGTTAAATACGTTCTTTTAGGAGCTTTGCATGGCCACAGCCATAAAATAACTGAACTTCACTTTTTGTTTTATTTTATTCTGTTCACTTCATTACTGTGCTTGTTCGACAGGCAACTAACCTTATAGAATCCCTACCTCTCGTGGTGTGTCTTGTCCCCAACGCAGGCTGATGTCAATTTGTCATGACCCATTTCAGTGGTTGGATATATCAGTTAGGCAGTAGAAAGTTAGTTTTGGCAGCCCTCATCTAGCGCGCGGGAAATGTTTAGCACTTTCAGTTGAAGGCATTTTTCTTTCGTCATTTATCTCTGTATACGTACTGTAAGGATTCCATGTCCCGTCAGGCATGTTATTCTGTTGCACTTATCCTTCTTTCAAGCCCAGTTGGGAGAAAAACAAAACGAAAAAGCCAAAACAAATTCAGCGTCCACTACATATATCGCCGCTAGTCCTACGGAATTCATATTTTTAAATCAAGTAGGCAGTAAGCAAGACAGACAAGGGGTACCGTGTCAGCGCACATTGTCAGCGGAATCGACGCTCTATGTTTGTCACATGCAGAATAGACAAGATGCACCGTTTCAGGGTATACCTCCACAGTGGATCCGACGCCTTCTCTGGGTTGTAGACGCCGTTAAAAAGGCGAAATAAGGCGTCACGTGATAACCAATCATGGTACCCAATGTCAAATCAGTTCGGCAGTATGCTAACTGGTTTCAGCGTAGAATGAATGGTCGCCCTGTCGCAGACGCCGTCTGGTGGGCCGTGCATGCGAAGCCCGGACTCCGCTCCCGCCAGTGGAACGGGTGGAGCGCCGCCCGGCCGAGCCCTGCCCCCGGAGACAAGAAGTGGACCTGGAGCTGGGCATCCCTCGCCGACGCCTCGTGCTCCAGGGGCCCCTCTACTCCAGCTCCTACGCCCACTGGTACTCGAGGGTCTTCAGCCCGCCCAGCCCTTCCACCGGAGAGCCCTGACGCCGTCGCCAACTCCCTGTGTTTGAACCGCGCACATTGCTCACCAGGAGGATACGGACCTCACTCCTCAAGGTTACATGTCTCGCCAAGACCTGAAGAAGAATTTGTGTAGCCAGCGGGGAAAGAAAGCACGCCATTGTCCAAAAAAACGGTTTTGAGGTTGTCTGATGACACATGCGTTAGAAGATCTGGGTGAACAAAGTTATGTCCTGTTGACTCCTGTAATTGCAGTCACCAAGATGGAGTTCCCCCAAAGTCGTGTCTGTATCCACTGTGAATTATCTTTCGCCCCGTGAAATAAAACGGCATCTTCTATCAGATCTTGACCACCCCAAAAAGACGAAGAAAAAGAAAACATATTGCTCTCAATTCAATTTTTCAGCAGGTGACAGCGGTAATTTCGAAAATCGACACGTTCAAGAGCCAAGGACTATGGAAATTAACTTAAGGGCCAGTATCAAGTGCGAGCCTCTTGGAAACAAACTTTGCCGACATTAAATCAAATGTTTTTATAAGATTCTAAGCAAAATGTGCTACAAAGTGTATTGTTTCGTGCTTTCCACGTACGATCTGAGCATTTCAGCATTTGATCAAATTGGTTCATTGACCAGAGGAAACGAAAATTCTGGTGGCCTGCTATGATCAGCTCAGCAGCGAGTCCGCACGCTAAACTTATCAGCTCATTTTAAACAAGATGTTCCAAAAGCTCAATGTTATCATTTGTTTCTATGTCACACTTATTTTTCACACAGCGTCAGATTTTTTGGCGCCGTATGCGAACTTGGAGTCAAAATGGCAACCACTGTGTAGGAAGCGACACAGCTGGCACCACGGGTACTTGAAGATTTTAGGATCTTCAGGGCGGTGCCGGCGGCATCATCTGCTATAATGGTCACGTTCCAAACCGCTTTAGTCAGATAAAGTTAAGAATGCACCAGAAGCTCCTCCCACACTCTTATTGCAGCCAATCAGTGTTTCTTCGCAATGCGCAACTAGCATGCTACTGAGGCGCCAGCCGCGCTGACGACTGTGGGGATCGTTGCTTGCTGCTCACACGCGAGAACAGGCTGGACACAGAAAAACATACTTTTATCCGAACAGGCCCAGCAATCCAGTGTTCCTTCCTTGCGTGCCCTGGGCCCCACAAATGACTTTCTCTTCAACATGGCGAAACGTCCCATAACTCGTATTGGTTGGTCCGCAGAGTGATTCGATGCCGTGGCCGGTACCTGGTGGTGTTTATTTGGCGCGGCGCTCTCATACATGTTCAATACGTGTTATTCTAAATGAAAACAAAGAGCGCAAGTTTGGTTAGCACAAAATTCAGCTCGATGAAATGATCCTGTTTTGATTAATAAATATAATACAAAACACTTAAAACAAGCACAGACATCACCGTTTCCTTCTCAACTACATAGTGTCTTCTACAACTTCAGCCAAGCGTGGAAAATAAAATTTAAGAAGTTAGATTGCAGTTTAAACAACCATGCACTCAAAGGTAAGTCAAGTGAGTGAGTGAGTGAATAAACTTTTATTAAAACAAGGTTCAGGCACTGATGGTTGGTGCCCGCCCGTTGGTCGGTCTCGTCTAGTCTGGGAAGCCCCTGTCCATGCTGGCTGCCCGGGCCCTATCCCCCAGGCAACACTGGGCTGAGAGGTCGGAGCTGGCCGGCTGGCCCGCCCACGGCTCGTAGGTTGGGTGAGGATGGGGGTAAGGGATGGGGTTTGTTAACACTGCTATACCATGTGGTACAAGGTGCCAGGTTGGGAGCCCAAATTACGGATATCGGAGTAGAGGTTGGGGTACATGGCGTGTAGTAGAGTGCTGTGGGGATAGGGCATGGTTTGTAGCCGGCGAAAGGCGGTCGCCTAGGCTATGAAAAGGTGGGAGAGCAATGGCGGAAACTGTCGTCGTTCGTGGCTGTAGTGGGCGAGGATATCCATGTATCTTTGAAAATGAGTGGGCTTGAGGGTGCTTGGGGACTGCTTGTCTTTGCCCTCTTCTGAAACGGCCCGGTGTGCATGAACGCGGGCAGCGGCGAGTTCCGCCTCGTTCCCCTCAAAGGACTCGTATCCGAGCCTAGACGATACGGAATTCCGAAAGCTGGCGCATGTTTTGTAGAACATTGAGGGCCTAGCCGGAAGTTGTGGCAGGCGGTTTGAGAGTCCGTCAGTACTGTGATGTACTCGTCGCCAATGATGGCTGCCAAAGCAATGGCGAGTTATTCTGCTGTCTTTATAGACGTCGTGGGGATTGTGCCGTCAGTTCTTTGCCAACGGCGTCGGTGACGCTCATGGCATAGGCTGGTTGTTGGGGGTACGGGGAAGCGTCTCTGTAAAGGGTAAAGGAAGAGTTCAGGAAGAGTTCGTATTGGGTTTTGGCGGCTCGTATCCGGGCTTTTCGGCGTGCCTCTTTTTAGATGGAGTGCATGTTTCTTGGGATAGGTGCGACTTTGATGGAGTGTCGAATGGCAAGAGGGATACGTTTCTTTTGTTCACAATCTGGAGGAGGTGTATATACAAACCGGCTGAGCGTAGCTCTCCTTGCCGGCGTTGGATTCAGTCGTGTAAATTGTGAGACCATGGGCTTACTGGTAGTTCATCCCAATGATCCCATATATTATGGACCCCGAGCCGCACGAGCTTTCGTGTGGCCATCTTTGGGAGTAGCCCCAGAGCGGCCTTATACACCAACTCGTGTTTACAAACAAACCGGAGCGCCCCTAGCGGACGCCAACGACGCCGCGCATGCGCGATGGGGGTGTGGGCAAGAAGCTCACCGTCGCCCATAAACAAACCATTGGAATGGGATGTTGTCAGCGCCGGTATAAGTCCCCGTGCTCTTTTTTGCGTTGGAATCGTTGATTCTACGTCTTCCTGACAAAGTCTGACTACTTCAGCGGCCTCAGCGAAATGAACGAGGCTCGTTACACCGTAAAACTTGGCGTGAATAATGTAACACGCGGCGATTCATTCCGCGTGGACGCCGCAGAATGGACGCTAAAGCCTGATTCGCATGGTGAGGTTCTGCTCACCATATTCATTTTCAATCATGACGTCGATCGGGCTGCAAAAGCCTGAACCGTAGCTGAGATATCGATGTCGATACTGAATATCGCAAGCAGAATCGGACCGAGTAAATCAGACATAACAAGTTGGTGATGGCCACTGGTAACAATTATCAACATCTTCCTATACTACTGTTTAAACTGAGCCTACTGACCCAAAGCAACCTTCAAACTTAAATGTTATTTGAGGTCTGAACATCTGCTCGGAATCACCGGGTCAACGTTTGGTCCACGGGCCGCTGTCGTTTGAACGAGCAGACGACAAGCAGAAACGTTTGAGAGAGTAGACTACAGCCTGAACGATAAGGCGGCCCTTTGAACGATATGACGCACTGAACGTAGTCCGCAGGTGGTCCGTGTAACTTGACGGTTTTTCCGCGTTTATGTTGGAACAAAACAAATAAATCTGACGACCACAAGTATCCGTGAATTCAATCCAAAGCGCTTCCCGCCCAAGCAATCGTAATCCAACAACGTCTGTGTTTTTTGTTTTTTGTTTTTTTGTTTTTTTTTTGCGGTTTTTATTTACGTTTTCGGACAAACCGAGCAGGCAGAAAACGCATAAAAACTGACCTTCAAACCTTTCCCGAAACTTTTAGTACATCCTCAGTAGCGGCGTTTTGACCAGGAGGCAGGGTTTTTTGTCCGGTTTTTTCCAAAGTAACAGAGGAATGCATGTGCCCCATGGAAACTTCCGCCCACAGCCCCAGACCGGAAGTGCGCCCGACCCGCCACCACCGCGCCGTGAAGTAACAGAGATGAGTTCGTGCATACACCAACTCATGTTGACAAACGAGCCGGAGCGCCCCTAGCGGACACCACCGGCGCCGCGCATGCGCGATGGAGTGTGGGCAACAAGCTTGCCGTCGCCCATAAACAAACCATTGAAATGCGGTGTTGTTGGCGTCGGCGTGAGTCCTCTTTCCTTTTTCGCGTTGGAATTGCTGTTTCTACCTCTTCCTGGCAATGCCTGACTACTTTAGCGACCTTAGCGTAATTACAGAGGCTCGCTACACCGCAAGACCTCGCGTGAATAATGGGACATGCGGCGACTCACTCCGCGTGGACATCCCCAGAAATCTGTGCCATCGCATGCTAGCGCCATCTCTTGGCGGATTATGGCAACGCTCCCATAGAAGCAATGTATTAAATATAGAAATACGGCAATATTTGCTCAACATCACATTTTTTCAGATTTGCCATGCTACCCGTCCAATCTCTGACACGATCCAATCCTTCCGCAAGAAAGTCAAGATTACAGCGCATAAACTGCAGGTTCCTCATTCGAGTAAATTATTTGATGCATAGCCACTATGGGTGGTATCAGGTTTGATCGGTTTTTAAAATATAGTATTAGGTGAGTGAAATAAATTTTAATTTTATATTATAAATACAACCCTCCCCCAATCATATGACAAAGTTTCGTGATTTGTATGATATTTTGTAATGCGTAGAAAAAACATCCTTCTGGGGCACCTCCCCCAAACGTGCCACACAAAGTGATTTTCAAACCTCCCTAATTTAAAAAATACAGAAAGATACGAGATTTGCCATATAACTGCGACAAGGCAAAAACATCCAGGAAGCGTAGTGTACGCTCTGTCTTCTCTCAAACTTATTTGCTCGGGTTCCTGAGACCAGTTTGTCGAACCAGGCGCATAATCGATCAGCCAGCTGTTCAGAATCGTTTCCTGCATTCTGCTTCTGGGATCACTAAACTACCAAACAAAGAAAGCAACTATTTGTTTTTTCATTTAGAAATTTTATTATGGCTAAGAAAAGGTATAGAAATATTGTTATTAATCATTAAGAAATTATTGACCTTGGCGAAGCTACATTTAAGGCGAATAAAGTGGGAATATTGAGTGATTATTTGGCAAGGAAGCTGACTGTGCTTGATGGTCTCTTCATGACACGTCAAGCACATAAATTCAAAATATCAAGTAAAAAACATGTCGGTCGATCCAGCGAGGAGAACATTGGAAAATGAGAACTATGTAACGTCCTCGCTCGAACGCCATTCCCATCGAGGAGGTTTATTTTCAAGGATATGCAGTTGTACCATGATTGATCTGATGGAGTTAAATTTTATCATTTTTCCCAGTTAAAGACCCGAATGTTCTAAACAAGTTCCTTGTGGATGAGTGGAGGCCCAAATTTGAAAAGTTGGACGAAGCCGTCAAAACGGAAAAACCAGGTCTAGTTTGAAGCGGTTTTTCTCAAGACAGATTTATTTCCAAGTATTTGCCATGGCACCAGCATGTAGTAGAGGGATGAAAATAATATATTTCGCCCAAAATGGGTGCATGAGCCGTGCTCCAAAAGTTCCCTGTGAAGGCGCGGGTGCTCAAACTTTAAAAATGGGACGAAACCGTCGAAACGGAAAAACCAGGTCCACTTCGGAGCGGTTTTTCTCAAGACAGATTTATT